ACCACCGAACATCAGTGATTCTGGTGAAACTGGATGATATTTTCTGCTCAGCTTAAACTCTGTGATTAACAGCACTGGTTCCCAACCTTTTTCCTTAAGAGACCCTTTCTATCATTTAGTAAACTGACACAGTGACATATTTTATGGATATCATTATTCATATTATATTATAAACTGTACAATGAACCCAAACGGCAAACTCAAAAACTGAAAGACGTTTGTATAAAACAAGTTTTAGTGTTTAGGGAACTTTTCATACAAGTCTCTGTCTGTGTCATTTTTACCCATCATACAGACTTAATAGGCTTCTTTTTTTAACAAATTCAGTGTTTCCTTCTCCCTGGTGCTTGACCATTGTTATACTAGACAATTTACTTGACATTTACATTTATTCACAGAAATAAACCAAATGCTGAGATATAGGCCTACTGTGTATAGTTTTCTAGCATACATTGAAATCAAGATCCCATTAAGCTTTGGGGACCCCTAGTGGGGGTCCCAACCCCCAGGTAGGGAGCCACTGTTGTAGCAAATGTAGCTGCCTTTAGCTGGCCAGTTTAGCTGGCAGGTTGGTGTTTACACTGGTAGCACAGGAGCTTTAGACTGTGGGCGGAGGTCGATTTTAGGCAATGTAACGGGCTGGGCTCAGCAGCTTCTGCGGACTGGCTATTAGTTGTTGGACTAATCATTCATTCATCATCATCAATAGTGGCTGCTGTTGTGTTGATCATAAGTAATGTAATCAGAACAATATGCAGCTGTCCATATTAACCACAGTGGGACTGAAATAATACCAGATCTTACAGAGTGCTGGTTTATAGTCAGAACTCAAGTAATCGTCTTTCATAAGAAAAACTAGAGATTTTACATTAGAGGGAACTCATTTCTGAAGTATTGGTGAAGTAATTGTGTTGTATTCTAGACATTACGGTAATGATGATAATCAAATCAGTGGGAACATGCTGCTTTTCTCTCCGTAATTACTCAGATTGAATGTGACCAAAGTGTTTGAGTTGCCAGGAAGGATGGGATTATACTGTGTGTGTGTGAACAGAAACACCGTGTCCTCCTGACCCGACCAATCAGCACGGATTAGACAGAACTGAATGGGAGGTCTGGTGGACCCTCCTCACCTCCTTCTAAGGCAGCAGTCATATATAATCTCTCTAACAATCTATCTTTACCACCGCAACATTTAGAAACATAATACCTATAAATTTAAACACAGAATGTGAAGGCAACTGCATGTATCTGATATCATACACATATACTGAGTGTGAAAAGCAGGAGAGAGACACAACACATCCTGAACCTCCACTGATAAAGATCTGTCAGATCCACAGGTTCAATATCAGCTGATGTCAATTTCAGTCTGTGACATTAAGGTGAGTTCTGTACGTTCCACCTTGAAAAGTGAAGTCTGAAAAGTTTAAAGGTCAAACACAGAGAAGCTGAATGCGACCCTGAACATCTCAGCTGCTGTGAGAATGTCCGATAAGACAGATAAAACTTTATAGTTTCATTTTGCAGCTCGTAGAACATCCTGATTATGATTTATTCACACTTTTACATTCATCTGGGCCATCGTCCAGGACCAGAGACCCACATTAAGTCATATTCTCTTCTTTCGCTCAGTGTTAGCTCTTATATTGATCAGTCATGTGAATTATTGATTGCCACTAAATATACAGATAAAAAATAAAGCTAAATAATGAAACAACAATGGGTTAAAAGGTTAAATCTCTATTTTTCATTGTAAGGAAACAAACAAAAAACTGAAGTCTAAAAACAACAGTTGATCCTTCCTAAGCCCTGCCCCTTCTTGCTCTGTGCTCCAATCACAGTTGAGGAAACCTTACTCAACTTTCTCCTTTCCTATTCTTAGATATGCTACACACTAAGCTAGTCTATGTTAAAAAGAGAACCACATTTTGAAGATGGTTAAAAGATAAAAGACATTTATATAGTTACATCTTAAGTCTCTCTCTGTCTGTTTTGCTACATTGTCATTGATTTAGATAAGTTAGCTAATTAAATGCTACCAGTAACTTCCTGCAGGAACCCTTCGCCAGAAAGCAAATAAGCGTATTTCCAAAATAATTAACTTTAAACTTTAAAGTGCCGAATGTAGAAATCCAGAATGCCTTCATTCTCTGTTCATATATGAATGTGATTTATGTTTGTCTGTCTGTACAGAAACAAAGTGCAGCTCCACCAAGGTGACCTGGCAGCCTTGTACCAGCATCCTCAGGCCTCTGCGTGCCGTCTGGTATCTGATGGTCAAGTTCCCGCGGGGAGTGTTTCCTCTTTAATCTGCAGGTTGTGAGGTTGTGGTCGGTAAAGCTGATCCAGGACACGTGAGGAGCGTCTCCTCTTGTCTGCGTGGCACGTGAAGCTTGTCGAACGGTGCTCAGATTAAGGGAAAGGGGTTAGAGCAGCTCAGCAGGTGTGTTCCCAGCAGCAGGTAAATGTGTCAGACAGGTGACAAAACTCACTGTGTGCCGCTGACCTGATCCTGATCGCTGCACGTCAAAGTCACAGAGGAGAAGTCAGATAGCAAAACAACACGGTGACCAGCTGCAGAGTCCGTTTGACTGTGTGTGAACATCAAGGTCTGAATATTCTAACAGATACATGTAAATGCAGTTGCTGCACTAGTGATGATCCACGTGGTCAATGATATTAGATTCTTCCTCTGTTTGTAGACAAAGATGTTGGAAAGTATTTTCCTTTGTTCGAAGAAGCCTGAGCTCACTTGGACATTGATTTCAAACTGGTTTTGATGGAAAATCTTTACTCTGCTTAGAGATGTGAGAAAGATCTCCAGTTATACTGACCTTCCCTCCTACCATCAAAAACACATACATAGGTAGTTCTGTGAGAACTGGAGCAGGTCCCCACAGCTCTAACTCTTAGTATAGGTCAAACTCAGAGAACAAATTTTCCTGCGGGGATCAATACATTAACATTTGTTAGATTTGGTCCTGTTGTGAGCTAGGGTTAACATTTTCCAACCATGCCGGAGATTAGCGGTGCTGAGTACCATAACCTCTCACAGCTATAATAAACAAAATAAACTTACCAAATATCAAGAAAGGAAATATTCGAACAACTATTTTCCTCATTGAACAGAAAAGTACAACGAAATACTTTCTGAATTTAACAAAGGTTAGCTTAATTTCCTTGTTTACTCATTGTAAAACACAACTCTGGTGCCTAACCGTCAAATCGAGTGCCGGACCATCCCTGCATTGTCTTCGTCATCGCCAGTGTCAGAGTTCTGGTCGGTGCCGCTGTAAGTCTACTCGTTGCTGTATTCACTGTCTTCAGACTGAAATAAACCTTTTAATTCCGTTAGATGTGAAAGTGTGTGAACTGCGTGTCTTCCTGAGGAGCTGTTGTGAGCAACACTGTTCTGAGTACTGAAGGCAGATTAATTCCTGTTCGGTCTCGGTCATTTCCTGTGAGTATTGTAACCCATTTCAGTGGCGGTGTATCTGATGTTGGAGTTCTGCCATTATCAACATGTCACTTTGTATTTTGGGGCTTGTGTAATCGTGAGCACTTAGAGTACAGGGTTATCATCTGATCTTAACGTAACCAACCCTCTGACTCATTGCCTCTGAGAGCTCACAGTCTTTGTCAAACATAACCTCGGCTTCTGCTGTGAAGCTGCCAATGTACTAGAAAGCTGAGAATGAATAGGATTTACTGTTGGCAATGTGTCCGAATTGTAAGCTTATGAGATTTGATTTTTGTGTAAATTCTCCAAGGCCTTTTTTCTCAGTTTCTGAATCCAGCAGAGATGAAATGCTGCATCTGTAGTTTTTGCAAGGGAAGACTTCTCAAGTTTATAATCTTTGTGCAGTGCAAGAAGACAGGCCTCCTTTCAAATTATGGCTGTAGTGAAGCCAAGGGAAATCTTTAAACCATTTTTCTTGGAAATATGGAGTTGTTAAAGTTTTTGAACGGCTATCTGTTTTGGACTGAGCTGATGTGGCTCTCTGCTCCTGCTCTGCCTCAGATTCTCTTCCATCTTTCCTGAGCTGCCACTGACCTCCGCCTGCTGCAGATCCAGCTCAAATAAACAGAACTAAAAGAACAACGTCAGTACATTTAATACTAAGTTTACACACATTTAACATGTACGGTAGTAATGGTGTGACAGAAATGGTATATGAGCCATTTATAGTTCTAATTAATCTTACTGAGGCAGGATCCACAGTTTGTTATTTAGCTGCTCTCATTCGCTGCTCTTGGTTTGGAAACAATAGCGGCTCTCCTGCTCACACAGGATCTAGTATTCCAGATAAACAGTAAAATGTTGTTTAGTGACATATTTTTAGAGAGAAATAGTCAACAACAGAATTGTGATGCCGATTATCTGATCAGCATGTTTGACAGTCTGGTTGAGTTTGGTGCGTTTGAGCTGGCTGACGTCCACTGAGAATGAGCGGATTGTCTAATCACAAGTTAGCCCGCCTAAAGCATACCCTGCTTTTATGGTCCTGTTTGACTCTAAATGGGACTCAGTACTAAATGAACATCATGCTGTATAGGAAGCAAGATCTTGAAACTAGAGACTGAGACCATGAAACTCATCAGGAAACTGTTTACTGAGCTCATTCTCCTTTAGAGTGAATGGGATCAGTTTATATTGCAGCCAGTGGAGCGCCCCCTGCTGGCCTTTACATAGAATGCAGGTTGAACTCACTTCCACGTTGGTTTCACTTTTCAGACCCGGAAGCTCTGTCCATCATACATACTATCAAAAACTGATGATCTGTGTGTGTGTGTGTGTGTGTGTGTGTGTGTGTGTGTGATTGTGTGATTGTGTGTGATTGTGTGTGTGTGTGTGTGTGTGTGTGTGTGATTGCATGATTGTGTGTGTGTGTGTGGGCTGCAGATTAGATCGAGGGCTGCAGCCTGTAGTCCCTCCTCCCCCCTCCTCCCCCTGCAGCTCCTCTATATATACAGCAGGCGGGAGAGAGAGAGGGAGTCAGGGGAGAGAGAGAGAGTCAGGGGACGAGCTGCACCGACTCCAGTGTGTGTACAGCAGAGAGCGAGAGCGGGAGAGAGACACTCACACTGACTGAGGGACAGTTTGATTTATTTCTCTTCAGTTCGAGTCTGAAGCAGGTGTGGACAGACAGACAGACTGACAGACAGACAGACAGACAGCTAAAGCAGGTGACCCTCCTCTGACTCTCCTCTGATGATGGACGACTACACTCTCCCCTTCTGGATTTACCTGGGCGTTTTGACCGTGTTTGTCGTTGGGGTCATGAAGAAGATTTTGGCATCCCACCTGAGCGCTGCCCCCCCCCTGGTGGCCTGGCTGGGCGCCACCGTGCTGGTGGAGCGGCTGTGGGCGTTCTGCCTGCCTGCTGTACTACTGCTGGCACTGCTCGGCCTCGCCTGCTGCCTTTACTCCGCCGCCAGAACTGGCCCGCCACCCGCCACCCTTACCGCCCACGGCAAGGCTGTCTTCATCACAGGTAGGACAAGGCTCCGCCCACTCTTCCAGGTGTGTGTGTGTGGTTTCGAGAGCACAGGAATTTGCTGCAACCTGCACTTTTATTTGAGGATGTAGTCAGTTTTTACAGCGTGTGGAAGCTTTTCAGCTGCCTTCTTCTATGTGTTTGATTTGCTCTGGAAATAATATTATATAATATTATATGTTAATAATAATTTAAATTGTTAAATTATTTAACAATCCATTCTTCAACTGATCAGAAAGCATGAAAACCACTTAGAATAGATGTAAAGAAGCAACCAACAAAACATGGTTTGATTTCACATAAAAAACGATGTCAGAACTTCCTTAAGATCCAAACTCTGCTCAGGAGTTTGACGTTTTGTGTCAGAAACAATCAGTAGAGATTAAAATGCAGCCGTTAAACTGAACATTGAACCAGAGAACCAGAGACTTCAGGAGGAAACCAGCCTGCAAGAGGTTAAAGGAAAGTTTCGTAATCTTTTGTGTGAGTGTAAACGATCACAGACGAGGTCACACTGTACTCAACCATCGTATCTGCACTCAGATCAGGGAGGTGATCTGATCCCACTGAGGGAAAAAGAGTATGTGTGTGTGTTTAAACTGTGTGAACAATAGACTGCTGTGGTGGAGGGGTCCCCTTCACAATAAAAGGTTTGAGGGAAACATCGAGAGGAAGGTGTGCTCACAGGTCACTGAGTGCTTTTGTGCCACTTTGTGCTATCAGACTGCTGTAGAAATAATAGTTTATGGATCTTTGTGTGTGTGTGTGTGTGTGTGTGTGTGTGTATGTATGTGCAGACTTAATCACATCTCTGCATCCGACGGCCAGCTGGCTCTGGGTCTGTGTGTGTGTGTCGTGGTTAATGAGATAATCAGATCTGCAGATTAATGCTGTTTAATAACGGCGCTCTGCCTTTGTGTAACTGTACTCTGCTGTAATCTGCACACAAACTTCCCCAAAGTGTCCCTCAGGTAACCCAAAAAACAGCCATCACCATGGAGGCGGGAAGACGCGTTGCTCACTCAGCTGTTTTTTTTACCTGCTGTTTTAGGACAGATGCTCTGACAGAGGACGCCTTCATGGAATCAGCTGACTGATGTTCAGCTTTCATTATCATCATTCGGTTATAAAATCTCAGAAGACGACAATGAGAGCAGTTTCAATTAACAATGAGCCTGCCCTCATTGGCTGGCGCTCGTTGTGATATTGATATTGTGATATTTTGGCTTCGGCAAGCTGTCTGATGGCGTTTTTGAACAGTGAACACATAGCGATCGTCTTCATGGGAGAGAACGCTGATTAGATTCAACTCTAAAATCAGGTATCGAGAACTCATTTTGAGTCACAATCGTCCTCTGAGCTCAGTCTCTGACGAGACAATTATTTTGCATATTGATGTTCCGCCCTCTTGTGGCCTAAAAGGAGCACAACACCCTACTTATCTTATCTATTTATCTATTTTATCTTTTCTAATCTACCCGAAACTCAAAACCCCTAAAAACTGGACCTTAAAGTCACAACACAGCTGTAGAATATGAACATAATTATCACTTGAACAAAGTAAAATAACAACTACAGCTCCCATAAGTATTTGCTGCTGTCTCTGTCTCCTCCAGCAGAGCTCACATGCACACATTTGTAGACTTTGAACCAAGGTGTGGTCTCCATCTAGCAGGAAGGAGCTCGTTTGATGAGGATGAAAGAGATCTGGGTCACACAAACACCAGCCGGATGTCACTGAACCAGAGACCTGAACCTTTTCAGTCCCTCAAACTGAACCTCAGCTCCTACCATTACTGTGTTTAGGAGCACAAAGGTCTGTCCAGAAAACCTTGTAGGAAATAATCACGAAATGATTGAGCCTTAATACAGCATTACCCACAATCCTCCCGCAGCGAGCTCCAGAAAACATCCGTTCAAGTCCTAAATACTGACAGACATTGTGGTGGCAGAAAAACAGCATAAACAAGCGGAGAGTAACGTACAGAAACGTCTACAAACAACACAGAGTCCAAAGTCAAAGCTAACATTACTGCAAAACTTGTGGAATATAGCAGTTAAGCTCCGCCCACAAAATACATCATCACTGTTTACAAACATAAAACTGTCAATAGCTGCCGGGTCACATGTGATTGATCAGCTGAACAATGATCAGCTGATTCCTGTTGTGTTGAACAACAACCTCAGACTAATCTAATCAAAGGGAAATCCTCTTGCTCTGCTCAGTGTCACACAGCCCATCAGCCAATCACAGCTCTGCATCGTCTGATAAAGCCAGTGCAGTTTCTGTGTCATTGTGTGTGATGGATTCATCCGTTTAGTTCATGAGTTCAACCTCCCGGAGGGGTTTTCTGCCGGCAGGACGCCAGCCCGCGGCGCTGGCCGGTCAGCAAGCCCTGTGACTCCAGCCCTCATCCTTGGAGGAATGTGCCTCTTTGTAGAACAGCTCAATTAGCTTTCTAAGAGGTTTATTGGGGCATTTTTTTCCACCCTCTGCTCTTATTTCCAGAGTGACCCGACACAGACCTTTAGCGGCTTCCAGCAGAGCCAATTAACAGCGATCTGCTGATGGAGATCTCGGCTGTGGACCCGATTTAAATCTTGTTTTAGACATCATCTGTTTTAGTGCATCAGAGCAGCACTGTGGGCCAGGAGGGTAATCAGACTGACGGCGCTCTGTGTCTGTCCCTCTGTCTCCACTCTGCGTTTGCATACATGCAAAGATGTGGGGCTGCAGCTCTTGAGCCCACGTGGAGAGAGGTGGAGTTTGGACGCGGCCATGTGCGGGTCTCAGGGATTTTGAACCGCGTTGCCATGACACCAGACAACCTCCCGAAGCACCAGCCAGAAGACAGCTTAGTCTGCAGGGTGCATTGGTCTGGTTCGGGATTACTGACGTTTACAACCACAAATCAAGACAACTTGAACTGAGTCAACCTTCTCTGTGGGCGGAGCCTACCTGCTGTCAGACAAACACAGTTGTTCAGTAGCTAGCAGTGCTAAGCTAACTGCAGAACTCACGCCATCACAGTCATCAACCAGAAGTGGGACATGACGTACATGAGACAGAATGCTGTAAAATATATTAATCATATTTGTGCTGAGTTGGTCATTTGTAGACGTTAGCAGACTTCATTTATAAGCTAACGTTAGCAACTACATTTTTACGTAAGACGTAAAAGCTTCAACATTCACAGGCTGGGTATTTACTGTCAGATTTTATGTGGTAGAGCAAAATGTGAAAACCTCTTCAGCTTGTGTTGAACCACAGACCTTAATTCAGACATCAAAAACCCATCGACTTCAATGAGAGGGATGCTAAAATGCTAACGTCTTAGCTGTGTGTGTGTAGCTGTGTAAAGTGATGACTGCATTAAAAACACGAATAGTGGATATAAAATGTGGTTTATTGAACTTGCATTTACATTCTTTTCTTTTTTTGAGGTTCTGGCAACAATTTCATGTACTTCAGTTCCAAATATGTATTGAACCACATTTAACTACTTTAATAAAAACAGCAGAGGGCAGAACTTTACCAACACAAAACAAATCCAATACTGACAGTTACGAAGCACAAAGTTCAGACCACTGTCTCTAAGACTGGTTGCCATATTAACACTGTCATTAAGGGTGTATTCCCATTCCCAGTATTCCCAGTATTCCCAGTATTCCCTGTACCTCCTAATACCAATCATCCAGTGTGGCTCTCCTGAGAGATCCAGAGTCAGTTTGGTGTTGCAGTTGTTCCTCATTATTTAAGGAATTATGCATGACTGATATTTCTTACCCTCTGTAGTTCTCCAAAGTACCCATAGGGAGCAATTTATCTACCATAGGGGCATCCAAGAGGGAACTTTTGCTATGTTTTTTAACCTGGTGCCCACAAGTGCCCCTTCCCTTCCTCTTCTTGTTTTTCTTTCTTGTTTTCCCTATTTCTTGCCTGCTTTTTTTCTTTTTTTCTTTCCTTTACTTTTTGTCAGTTTCCTACCTCCAGCTCTTCCTTTTATACTTCCTTCCTCCCTCCTTTGTCCTCTTTTAACCGTTCTTCTTTCTCTGTGTTTTTTATTTTCAATCTTTCCCTTTCTTCTTTATTTTTAACTTTCTCTTTCTTTTACCATTTTCCCTCCAGTTCTTTGTTCTTTTTGAATTTCTTCCTCCTCCTCTTCTTCCCCCTTCTCCTCTTCCTCCTCCTCCTCATCCTCCTCTCTTGGCGCCGACTCAAAGTTCACAAGGAGTTCCGTTTTTGCAGATCCAGAGCCAGCCGCTGATTCCTGGATGGAGTCACAGGAATGCTCAGCGACAGTCAGACTCTATAATGTTTACTCTCCATGATCCTCATTAGTTATTTAAAGGTAGAAAAACAGCCTTCCTCCTCCTGTCACATGACCTCTGCTCGCAGTTGGACCACGGTTTGTTATGACAGAGTCTCCAAGTGATGAAGCAATGATGACCTTCACCATGTGGCCGTGTTGTTTTCACACACACAGAGAGGATGGATGAACAGCATTCACTGAACGTTGCCCAATATCTGAGAACAGCCCAGAACAAACCAAACACTAGATCTGGATATAGACTTTTGCAGCCAATATAGTTTCTCCAACACTCTTGAGCAGTGCTGTTTTCAGTTGGTTGCAATCTGCAATCGGCACTGAATCCTACACAATGCTCCTTTAATGCTCTTATCGGGAAGCTCTGTAATGTTTACATATGTCTTTGTGAACTTTTAACGTTTGAAATTTGAATGGAGAAGAAAAGGATGATGTGAGCTCAGAGTGAGCGCTCCTGTTGGTACAATCTGTGCAGATGTTGAGGCCTCCGCCCAGAGACAGATGTGTGTTTTGACCTCAGCTCTCGTCTTTCTGCACAGATTTATTTCTTCATCTGAGGGGCCCCTTGGAGCCCCCTGCCCTGTTACGTAACGCTGTTCCCTCCCGGGGTTGAATTCGTCCCCCTGCAGTGATAACATGTCCACATGTTCAGCTGCGACCTAAAACTGTCCTCTTTATGGAGACAAATCTTTACAGGGGTGATCCTGTGGGCTGGAGTTTCAGAGAGAATCCCCCAGCTGTTCTTACAAGAGCCCGACAGTCACAGTTTATCAGTCAGTCCGAGTCCGCCTCTGTCACTCGGACTGAAACTGGAGCCCACTCACTGTGAGGGGTCAGTAGTGGACAGTGTGGAGAATGTGGGAGTGTGTGGTCCTCACACTGACCACAAATCACAATTATTGCAGTCAAAGAAAGAAAAATACCTTCCACATTTTTGTCCAAATATGTGGACACACAGCAGGAGTTTGACTCTAAACGTAGAGGATAAACACTGACAGCTGCAGGAGAGGAGCTCCTTCTGCTTTCAGAAATAATTTATTGATCCTGGGGGGGTGGGGGGGTCAAATAGAGACAATATTAGACCATTATCTGAATAAATGAATGAAGAGCTGTACAGTTCGTTGGAATGTGTAAAATACTGTTGAGGGGATGTGCCACTGCCACTGAGCAGTCTCTGAGCAGGAACCACTGAGCAGTCTCTGAGCAGCAGCCACTGAGCAG